GGAGAATAGGGCGGGGTGATGGAAAGCAGGAGAATGGGGCGGGGTGATGGAAAGCGGGAGAATGGGGCGGGGTGATGAAAAGCGGGAGAATGGGGCGGGGTGATGGAAAGCAGGAGAATGGGGCAGGGTGATGGAAAGCTTGAGAATGGGGCGGGGTGATGGAAAGCGGGAGAATGGGGCGGGGTGATGGAAAGCGGGAGAATGGGGCAGGGTGATGGAAAGCGGGAGAATGGGGCGGGGTGATGGAAAGCGGGAGAACGGGGCGGGGTGATGGAAAGCGGGAGAATGGGGCGGGGTGATGGAAAGCGGGAGAATGGGGCGGGGTGATGGAAAGCGGGAGAATGGGGCGGGGTGATGGAAAGCTTGTGAATGGGGCGGGGTGATGGAAAGCGGGAGAATGGGGTGGGGTGATGGAAAGCGGGAGAATGGGGTGGGGTGATGGAAAGCGAGGAATGGGGCGGGGTGATGGAAAGCGGGAGAATGGGGCAGGGTGATGGAAAGCGGGAGAATGGGGCAGGGTGGTGGAAAGCGGGAGAATGGGGCGGGGTATTTGGAAGCGGGAGAATGGGGCGGGGTGATGGAAAGCTGGAGAATGGGGCGGGGTGATGGTAAGCTGGAGAATGGGGCGGGGTGATGGAAAGCGGAAGAATGGGGCGGGGTGATGGAAATAGGGAGGATGGGGCGGGATGATGGAAAGAGGGAGAATGGGGCGGGGTGATGGAAAGAGGGAGAATGGGACGGGGTGATGGAAAGAGGGAGACTGGGGCGGGGTGATGGAAAGAGAGAGAATGGGGCGGGGTGATGGAAAGCGTGAGAATGGGGCAGGGGTGATCGAAAGAGGGAGAATGGGGCGGGGTGATGGAAAGTTTGAGAATGGGGCGGGGTAATGGAAAGCGGGAGAATGGGGCGGGGTGATGGGAAGAGGGAGAATAGGGCGAGGTGATGGAAAGAGGGAGAATGGGGCGGGGTGATGGAACGAGGGAGAATGGGGCGGGGTGATGGAAAGCGGGAGAATGGGGCGGGGTGATGGAAAGCGGGGTGATGGAAAGCGGGAGAATGGGGCGGGGTGATTGAAATAGGGAGAATAGGGCAGGGTGATGGAGAGCGGGAGAATGGGGCAGGCAGATGGAAAGAGGGGGAATGGGGCGGGGTGATGGAAAGAGGGAGAATGGGACGGGGTGATGAAAAGCGGAAGAATGGGGCGGGGCGATGGAAAGAGGGAGGATGGGGTGGGGTGATGGAAAGAGGGAGAATGGGGCGGGGTGATGAAAAGAGGGAGAATGGGACGGGGTGATGGAAAGCGGGAGAATGGGGCGGGGTGATGGAAAACGGGAGAATGGGGTGGGGTGATGGAAAGCGGGAGAATAGGGCGGGGTGATGGAAAGCGGGAGAATGGGGCGGGGTGATGGAAAGAGGGAGAAAGGGGCGGGGTGATGGAAAGCGGGAGAATGGGGCGGGGTGATGGAAAGCGGGAGAATGGGGCGGGGTGATGGAAAGCGGGAGAATGGTGCGGGGTGATGGAAAGCGGGAGAATGGGGCGAGGTGATGGAAAGCGGGAGAATGGGGCGGGGTGATGGAAAGCGGGAGAATGGGGCGGGGTGATGGAAAGCTAGAGAATAGGGCGGGGTGATGGAAAGCGGGAGAATGGGGCGGAGTGATGGAAAGCGGGAGAATGGGGCGGGGTGATGGAAAGCGGGAGAATGGGGCGGGGTGATGGAAAGCGGGAGAATGGGGCGGGGTGATGGAAAGCGGGAGAATGGGGCGGGGTGATGAAAAGCGGAAGAATGGGGCGGGGTTGTTGTGATGCAAACATATGCATTCACGTCTGTCTGCCTCCATCAGGTGTTCGTGTGTTGCAAGCGTGGTGTGAACGTGTGCAAGAATTTGTGTTTTGCGCGGTTTGGATTTTTCGAGTGTGTGTGGATGATGTTTGGCTTGGGCAGATATCTGAAGTGACAGCTCTACTCAAGATCTTTCCGACGAGCCAAGAATCGTCGCGATCGGAGCAATGTCAAGAAAGTTACGAACGTTGGGGTTCGTATGCTTTCTGTACTTCGGTTGTGGCGACTATGGGAAGTTGTGGGGTTGACTCAATATGGGGTACAGACTTTTGGGGGTTGGGAATTCGAACCCATCACTGTAGAATGCTGCCATGTGGTTGGGTGAAGCCAAACCAGGTTGGCAAGTGTGGCCAAGTGGGTTGAGGTGGATGGCATGAGTTGGGAAAGTGACAAATGTGAAAGTGGGGTTGCCTATGGGGAAGGGAATTGTGTGGCATGGGGTTTCCTTGGTTGGGGAATCTCTTGGGACCTTCCCTCTCGTCCTCCTCTTCCCTCCTACCTGGTTTAGTGCTACCCTAACTCTCTTGTGTGCACTTTTGTGGAACTTGTGAGTTAATTGTGATTGAGTTAAATTTCTGTGGCAGCATACCCCCTAGTGCGCCGAAACGCATAACTCGAGATATGCATCATATTTTGATACGATTCGAATTGGTAAATGTAGCCACGGTCTAGGGCTACAACATATTCGAATTTCGTGGGATTCTAACAGTGCACCTTCCGTCGACGACGTTTCTTGTGAAGTCGACGTTTCTGTCCAGAAATTGAGACCAACGATTTTGATAAATTTGAGCACCTAATCTTCATAGACTCGATCCTTAGTCTCTAACAAGTGGTATCAGAGCTGATTAAGGACTTTGTGGAGAGTCTACTGAAGTGTGAAGACCCTCCTAGACCCACCATGGCCTGTGGGCGTGTCTATGTGGAGTTCTAGAGGTTGGATGTGACTTCCATTAAGGGGAAACTCTGCCGAAATTTCGTTGGCGCCGACACCTGTGGAAAATTGTGTGAGACTTCGGTGTGGACAGCAAAGGGGGAGCTGAAACCTCTGATTGGGAGCAGAGGAGATGAGTGGAGAAGGAGCTGAGAAGAAGAGTGAACCGCCACCGTCCAAGATCGAGGCTTTGGACGGCTCCAACTATGAGGAATGGAGCGGGCGGATGCGGAGCGCTTTCAAGCGCTACAAGCTGCTAAAACTTGCGATGGGAGAAGAGAAGATGCCGGAGGAAGGTGATGCCCGCGACAAATGGATTGAGAGGAGCGCGGTGCTGTACGACCTAATCCTTCAATCGGTCAACAATGATATGTTCCAGCATATCAAGGACCTGGTGGAGCTCGATGACTCGGGACCGAAGGCGTGGAAGCTGCTTCGCGACGTGGTTCAACCCAACACGCTGCCGATGGTGATCGTATTGGAGAAGGAGTTGGCTGCCCTCTCCATGCGGCCGGGAGATGATGTGAAGCCGGTCCTTGACAAGATCAAGGACACCTATGCGAGGATGGCAGCGGCGGGCAGCGAAGTGTCGCAGATGCAACAGTGCACCAAGATCATCTCGGTGCTCGACAACTCGTGGGACAACCTCATCCCCACCCTCAACGTTCAGCAGGACAAATGGACGCCTGAGTGGCTACGGCAGCAGATCCTGCAGGAGGACTTCCGCAGGCGCCACACTGGAGGTGGTGCTGCCAACAAAACTGCTGAGGGGTATGGAGCTGCAGGAGGCAGCACAGGGAGAGGGGGAGGGAGAGGCCGAGGCCGTGGGAGAGGCTTTGGCAGAGGGAGAGGCCGAGGTGACTACAATGAGGGGCATGGGAGCTCTGGTGGCAGGGGGAGCACACGAATGGAGGGTGCGTGCTGGTACTGCAAGAAGGCTGGACACCCGTGGTTCAAGTGTTTCAGCCGGCCTGAGGGATGGGCACCTCCAGGCATGAAGCCGCCAAGTGGTGAATGCGCACGAGGTGGTGCTGTGCAAGGTTCAGGTGCACAAGGTGATGGTGCACAAGGTAAAGCTGACCCTGGGCTGTTCCTCATGGTTGAGGAAGTGAAAGGGAGTGAGGATGATGTGGGTTCGGTTGGGAAGGTTGTAATGCACCCCCTAACTCACTGGGTGATCGATTCTGGTTGCACGAGTCACATGACTCTGCGGGCAGATTTGCTCGATGAGGTGAAACCCCCTGGGAAGATCAAGTTTGTGGCTGCCGCGTCAGGTGCTTTGCTCCCTGTGATTGGTGTTGGGAATGCCAAGGTGATGGGAGCCAATGGGGGACTTGTTGGACTTGGGAATGTTCTATTGGTGGATGGTTTATCCGCTAACCTCCTCTCTGTGCGCCGGCTGCAGAAAAGCAAGGCCAAAGTCACGTTCGGCCCAACCAGCTGCCGTGCAAAGCTTGGGAAGTTGCTGCTGTGGGATTTGGAGGAGAAGAGCAGCTGCATCAAGGACCTGTGTTAGCTGCCCATCATCCCTTGGAATGGAAAACCTCCAGCAACGGCAAAGGCAGCGGCAGCGGCTAAGGCAACTGCGGGAGGAGAGGAGACTGCACCAACTGCTGGGGCCCTGGATGCAGTCAAGAAGGTGCAGCAGCCACAGCAATCACATGGTGAGGTGCTTGCTGGTGTGGATGCAACGGCTGCATGGGCAAAGGCTTCATCTGGGAGTGGTGAGGCCGATTGGGAGACGTGGCACGAGAGGTTGTGCCACATCAACATTCCGATGCTGCAGAAATTGGTGAAGGATGGGAACCTGAAGGAATTGGAGGTGAAGGGGGCAGCAAGGGAGATTGGGAGCTGCCCTACATACCTTGAGACCAAGTTCACGAAGTTTCCCTTCAGCAGCAGCACGGGACCAGCGAAGGCTCCACTTGCACTTGTGCACATGGACGTGGTGGGCCCCACGAGGGCCCCTTCTCTCTCGGGCAGCCGCTATTTCCTGACCATTGTGGATGACCACACACGTGCGGTGTGGGTCTACCCTCTCAAGACTAAGGGGGAGGTGGCAGCGGCTGTTCTCAAGGAGTGGATGCCGAGAGCACAAAGGGAGAGCGGACACAAAGTGAAGGTGATCCGCACCGACAATGGGGGAGAGTTCATTGGCGCTGTTTTTGAGGCGGTGCTGAAGAAGAAGGGGATCCAGCATCAGCTCACGGTGCCCTACAACCCTCAGCAGAACGGCGTGGCTGAGCGGTTCAACCGGACCCTGCAGGAAGGTGCTCGCACTCTCCTTGGGCGTGCAGGGCTGCCGGATCCGTTTTGGGTGACTGCACTGCGGCAGGTCGTTGTTGTGAAGAACCGGGTGCTCGCAACTGTGGGGGACAAGCAGTGGGTGCCTTAAACCAAGTGGTATGGGAGTGCACCAGCAGTCAACATGCTGAGAGCCTACGGCTGCATGGTGGTGTTTCATGTGCCGAAGGAGAAGAGGGGAAAGTTGGAAGCTTCTGGAAGATGGGGTGTGCACTTGGGACTTGCGAAGGACCACAAGGGCTGGCTCATATGGGACTTGACCAGCCAGCAGCTGACTGTGTCAAGGGACGTGAAGTTCCTGGAGTCCTTGTACTACAAGGAGTGGAAGCAGCAGCAGCAGAAGCTTCCTACGACACCGCTGATCGTTGAGGCCGATGAGATGCAGCGGCCTTCGAGGCAAGTGGAGGTTGCCATCTCAGAGGAGGAGATCTCTGGGGTGACTGAGGATGGGGGAGAACCTGAGGTGGTGGAGCAGCAGTAGCAGCAGCAGCAGCAGCAACAGCAGCCGCAGCAGCAGCAGCCGCAGCAGCAGCAGCAAGATGCTCTACGAGGTGCCGCACGTACGGCTGAGTGTCCTAGGAGGGATATACGCCAACCTATTAGGCTGAGCTATAATCGCACTGGCTCACGAAATGTGGAGCATGCTGGAAGTGTGGCTGAGCAGTGTGATGAGGAGGAGATAGCGCACTGTTACTGGGCAGCCGTCCCTGAGCCCAAGACACTTACCGAGGCCTTGAGTGGGCCCGATGCTGAGAAGTGGAAGCAGAGTGTGAAGGAGGAGTATGACTCTCTGCTGGAGAATGAGACGTGGGAGCTGTGTGAGCTGCCTCATGGGAAGAAGGCAATCTCTTCGAAGCTGATCTTCAGGCACAAGTATGGACCTGATGGGGAGCTGACGCGCTACAAGTCAAGGCTTGTCGCTAAGGGGTTCCAGCAGACGAAGGGGAAGGATTTTGATGAGCTCTATGCTCCTGTGGGAAAAGGCACAACACTGAGAGTGTCTTTGGCGATGGCCGCATACCGTGGATGGCGGGTAAAGCAGCTGGACATTACCACCGCCTTCCTCAATGGAGTCATTCTGGAGGATCTGTACATGCTGTAGCCTGAGGGGTTGGATGATGGGAGCGGCAGGGTGTGCAGGCTGAAGAAGGCCATCTATGGCCTGAAGCAGGCTCCTCGTGCATGGTACCACAAACTGGAGGAGACACTGCTGGCTGGGGGGTTCAAGAAGAGTGAGTGCGATCACAGCTTGTTCCTGCTGCAAGAGAAGGAGCAGTTTCTCATGCTCCTGGTGTATGTGGACGACATACTGCTCTTCTCTGAGTCGTCTGCAATGATTGAGCGTGTGAAGGAGATGCTGGAAATGCAGTTCAAGTGCTCCAAGATGGGAGATGTGAAGTACTACCTGGGGATGCATGTGAAGAAGGACCTTGACAAGGGAGTGTTGAGGTTGCACCAGAGGAAGTATTGTGAGGGGCTGGCCGAGAAGTATGGGCTGCGAGATGGAGGGAAGCCAGCCACCCCACTGCCTTCAGGGTTCACCGTAGAGCCTTGTGCTGATGAGGAGGTGGTGGGAGAGAGTGACAGGAAGCTGTTTCACTCCATGGTGGGGGCACTCAACTATTCGGCTAACCACACGCGGCCTGACATTGCCTTTGCTACATCCAGGCTTGCAAGTGTGGTTTCACGCCCCAGTCATGAGCAGCTGGAAGCGGCCAAGAGGTTGGTCCGCTACGTGAGTGCAACGGCATCAGTGGGATTGGAGTACAGTGCCGTGCGACAGAGGCTGCAGAGGGGTGCAGCTGACTTGAGCAAGGGGGAGATGCGCCTAACGTGCTACACCGACGCTAGCTTCAACTCTGTGAAATCGGATGGCACCAGCATTGGAGGCTATGTGTGCCTCTTTGGAGGTGGTGCAGTGAGCTGGCGCAGCAAGAAGCAGAACGAGGTGGGGCTGTCCTCGTGTGAGACAGAGTACATGGCCCTTCATCATGGGGCAAAGGAGGTGGTGTGGCTAAGGCGTTTGCTAGAGGAGATTTGGGTTGGTCAAAAGGAGCCGACTGTGATTTTCTGTGACAATGAGTCAACTGTGAAGCTTGCGAAGAATGCCTGTCTTCATGGCCTGACAAAGCACATCCGGCCTAAGTGGCATTGGACGAGGAGGCTCCTGGATAAGGAGGTTCGACTGGAACTTGTGAAAACCCAGCAACAGGCGGCTGACATTCTCACCAAGCGCCTGGCAGAACCTGAGCATTGGAAGGGCATGAAACTTGCTGGGATGAGTGTGCATTGAGGATGCATGCATGAGCTGAGGCATGTGGGATGATGGTTGGCAGCCAGAGGGGGAGTTTGTTGTGATGCAAACATATGCATTCACGTCTGTCTGCCTCCATCAAGTGTTCGTGTGTTGCAAGCGTGGTGTGAACGTGTGCAAGAATTTGTGTTTTGCGCAGTTTGGATTTTTCAAGTGTGTGTGGATGATGTTTGGCTTTGGCAGATATCTGAAGTGACAGCTCTACTCAAGATCTTTCCGACGAGCCAAGAATCGTCGCGATCGGAGCAATATCAAGAAAGTTACGAACGTTGGGGTTCGTATGCTTTCTGTACTTCGATTGTGGCGACTATGGGAAGTTGTGGGGTTGACTCAATATGGGGTACAGACTTTTGGGGGTTGGGAATGCGAACCCATCACTGTAGAATGCTGCCATGTGGTTGGGTGAAGCCAAACCAGGTTGGCAAGTGTGGCCAAGTGGGTTGAGGTGGATGGCATGAGTTGGGAAAGTGACAAATGTGAAAGTGGGGTTGCCTATGGGGAAGGGAATTGTGTGGCATGGGGTTTCCTTGGTTGGGGAATCTCTTGGGACCTTCCCTCTCGTCCTCCTCTTCCCTCCTACCTGGTTTAGTGCTACCCTAACTCTCTTGTGTGCACTTTTGTGGAACTTGTGAGTTAATTGTGATTGAGTTAAATTTCTGTGGCAGCATACCCCCTAGTGCGCCGAAACGCATAACTCGAGATATGCATCATATTTTGATACGATTCGAATTGGTAAATGTAGCCACGGTCTAGGGCTACAACATATTCGAATTTCGTGGGATTCTAACAGTGCACCTTCCGTCGACGACGTTTCTTGTGAAGTCGACGTTTCTGTCCAGAAATTGAGACCAACGATTTTGATAAATTTGAGCACCTAATCTTCATAGACTCGATCCTTAGTCTCTAACAGGGGTGAAGAAAAGCGGGAGAATGGGGCGGGCTGATGGAAAGAGGGAGAATGGGGCGGGGTGATGGAAAGAGGGAGAATGGGGCAGGGTGATGAAAAGCGGGAGAATGGGGCGGGTTGATGGAAAGAGGGAGAATGGGGCGGGGTGAATGGGGCGGGGTGATGGAAAGCGGAAGAATGGGGCGGGGTGATGGAAAGCGGGAGAATGGGGCGGGGTGATGGAAAGCGGGAGAATGGGGCGGGGTGATGGAAAGCGGGAGAATGTGGCGGGGTGATGGAAAGCGGGAGAATGGGGCGGGGTGATGGAAAGCGGGAGAATGGGGCGGGGTGATGGAAAGCGGGAGAATGGGGCGGGGTGATGGAAAGCTGGAGAATGGGGCGGGGTGATGGAAAGCAGGAGAATGGGGCGGGGTGATGGAAAGCTGGAGAATGGTGCGGGGTGATGGAAAGCGGAAGAATGGGGCGGGGTGATGGAAATAGGGAGGATGGGGCGGGGTGATGGAAAGAGGGAGAATGGGGCGGGGTGATGGAAAGAGGGAGAATGGGGCGGGGTGATGGAAAGAGAGAGAATGGGGCGGGGTGATGGAAAGCGGGAGAATGGGGCGGGGTGACGGAAAGCGGGAGAATGGGGCGGGGTGATGGAAAGTGGGAGAATCGAGCGGGGTGATGGAAATAGGGAGAATGGGCCGGGGTGATGGAAAGCGGGAGAATGGGGCGGGGTGGTGGAAAGAGGGAGAATGGGGCGGGGTGATGAAAAGAGGGAGAATGGGACGGGGTGATGGAAAGCGGGAGAATGGGGCGGGGTGATGGAAAGCGGGAGAATAGGGCGGGGTGATGGAAAGCAGGAGAATGGGGCGGGGTGATGGAAAGCGGGAGAATGGGGCGGGGTGATGAAAAGCGGGAGAATGGGGCGGGGTGATGGAAAGCAGGAGAATGGGGCAGGGTGATGGAAAGCTTGAGAATGGGGCGGGGTGATGGAAAGCGGGAGAATGGGGCGGGGTGATGGAAAGCGGGAGAATGGGGCAGGGTGATGGAAAGCGGGAGAATGGGGCGGGGTGATGGAAAGCGGGAGAACGGGGCGGGGTGATGGAAAGCGGGAGAATGGGGCGGGGTGATGGAAAGCGGGAGAATGGGGCGGGGTGATGGAAAGCGGGAGAATGGGGCGGGGTGATGGAAAGCTTGTGAATGGGGCGGGGTGATGGAAAGCGGGAGAATGGGGTGGGGTGATGGAAAGCGGGAGAATGGGGTGGGGTGATGGAAAGCGAGGAATGGGGCGGGGTGATGGAAAGCGGGAGAATGGGGCAGGGTGATGGAAAGCGGGAGAATGGGGCAGGGTGGTGGAAAGCGGGAGAATGGGGCGGGGTGATTGGAAGCGGGAGAATGGGGCGGGGTGATGGAAAGCTGGAGAATGGGGCGGGGTGATGGTAAGCTGGAGAATGGGGCGGGGTGATGGAAAGCGGAAGAATGGGGCGGGGTGATGGAAATAGGGAGGATGGGGCGGGATGATGGAAAGAGGGAGAATGGGGCGGGGTGATGGAAAGAGGGAGAATGGGACGGGGTGATGGAAAGAGGGAGACTGGGGCGGGGTGATGGAAAGAGAGAGAATGGGGCGGGGTGATGGAAAGCGGGAGCCATCATTCCGTTCCATTCTTCCGCTTTCCATCATTCCGTTCCATCACCCCGCCCCATTCTCCCTCTTTCCATCACCCCATAGTCATCACCCCGCCCCATTCTCTCTCTTTCCATCACCCCGCCCCAGTCTCCCTCTTTCCATCACCCCGTCCCATTCTCCCTCTTTCCATCACCCCGCCCCATTCTCCCTCTTTCCATCATCCCGCCCCATCCTCCCTATTTCCATCACCCCGCCCCATTCTTCCGCTTTCCATCACCCCGCCCCATTCTCCAGCTTACCATCACCCCGCCCCATTCTCCAGCTTTCCATCACCCCGCCCCATTCTCCCGCTTCCAATCACCCCGCCCCATTCTCCCGCTTTCCACCACCCTGCCCCATTCTCCCGCTTTCCATCACCCTGCCCCATTCTCCCGCTTTCCATCACCCCGCCCCATTCCTCGCTTTCCATCACCCCACCCCATTCTCCCGCTTTCCATCACCCCACCCCATTCTCCCGCTTTCCATCACCCCGCCCCATTCACAAGCTTTCCATCACCCCGCCCCATTCTCCCGCTTTCCATCACCCCGCCCCATTCTCCCGCTTTCCATCACCCCGCCCCATTCTCCCGCTTTCCATCACCCCGCCCCGTTCTCCCGCTTTCCATCACCCCGCCCCATTCTCCCGCTTTCCATCACCCTGCCCCATTCTCCCGCTTTCCATCACCCCGCCCCATTCTCCCGCTTTCCATCACCCCGCCCCATTCTCAAGCTTTCCATCACCCTGCCCCATTCTCCTGCTTTCCATCACCCCGCCCCATTCTCCCGCTTTTCATCACCCCGCCCCATTCTCCCGCTTTCCATCACCCCGCCCCATTCTCCTGCTTTCCATCACCCCGCCCTATTCTCCCGCTTTCCATCACCCCGCCCCATTCTCCCGCTTTCCATCACCCCGTCCCATTCTCCCTCTTTTCATCACCCCGCCCCATTCTCCCTCTTTCCACCACCCCGCCCCATTCTCCCGCTTTCCATCACCCCGGCCCATTCTCCCTATTTCCATCACCCCGCTCGATTCTCCCACTTTCCATCACCCCGCCCCATTCTCCCGCTTTCCGTCACCCCGCCCCATTCTCCCGCTTTCCATCACCCCGCCCCATTCTCTCTCTTTCCATCACCCCGCCCCATTCTCCCTCTTTCCATCACCCCGCCCCATTCTCCCTCTTTCCATCACCCCGCCCCATCCTCCCTATTTCCATCATCCCGCCCCATTCTTCTGCTTTCCATCACCCCGCACCATTCTCCAGCTTTCCATCACCCCGCTCCATTCTCCTGCTTTCCATCACCCCGCCCCATTCTCCAGCTTTCCATCACCCCGCCCCATTCTCCCGCTTTCCATCACCCCGCCCCATTCTCCCGCTTTCCATCACCCCGCCCCATTCTTCCGCTTTCCATCACCCCGCCACATTCTCCCGCTTTCCATCACCCCGCCCCATTCTCCCGCTTTCCATCACCCGGCCCCATTCTCCCGCTTTCCATCACCCCGCCCCATTCTTCCGCTTTCCATCACCCCGCCCCATTCACCCCGCCCCATTCTCCCTCTTTCCATCAACCCGCCCCATTCTCCCGCTTTTCATCACCCTGCCCCATTCTCCCTCTTTCCATCACCCCGCCCCATTCTCCCTCTTTCCATCAGCCCGCCCCATTCTCCCGCTTTTCTTCACCCCTGTTAGAGACTAAGGATCGAGTCTATGAAGATTAGGTGCTCAAATTTATCAAAATCGTTGGTCTCAATTTCTGGACAGAAACGTCGACTTCACAAGAAACGTCGTCGACGGAAGGTGCACTGTTAGAATCCCACGAAATTCTAATATGTTGTAGCCCTAGACCGTGGCTACATTTACCAATTCGAATCGTATCAAAATATGATGCATATCTCGAGTTATGCGTTTCGGCGCACTAGGGGGTATGCTGCCACAGAAATTTAACTCAATCACAATTAACTCACAAGTTCCACAAAAGTGCACACAAGAGAGTTAGGGTAGCACTAAACCAGGTAGGAGGGAAGAGGAGGACGAGAGGGAAGGTCCCAAGAGATTCCCCAACCAAGGAAACCCCATGCCACACAATTCCCTTCCCCATAGGCAACCCCACTTTCACATTTGTCACTTTCCCAACTCATGCCATCCACCTCAACCCACTTGGCCACACTTGCCAACCTGGTTTGGCTTCACCCAACCACATGGCAGCATTCTACAGTGATGGGTTCGCATTCCCAACCCCCAAAAGTCTGTACCCCATATTGAGTCAACCCCACAACTTCCCATAGTCGCCACAATCGAAGTACAGAAAGCATACGAACCCCAACGTTCGTAACTTTCTTGATATTGCTCCGATCGCGACGATTCTTGGCTCGTCGGAAAGATCTTGAGTAGAGCTGTCACTTCAGATATCTGCCAAAGCCAAACATCATCCACACACACTTGAAAATCCAAACTGCGCAAAACACAAATTCTTGCACACGTTCACACCACGCTTGCAACACACGAACACTTGATGGAGGCAGACAGACGTGAATGCATATGTTTGCATCACAACAAACTCCCCCTCTGGCTGCCAACCATCATCCCACATGCCTCAGCTCATGCATGCATCCTCAATGCACACTCATCCCAGCAAGTTTCATGCCCTTCCAATGCTCAGGTTCTGCCAGGCGCTTGGTGAGAATGTCAGCCGCCTGTTGCTGGGTTTTCACAAGTTCCAGTCGAACCTCCTTATCCAGGAGCCTCCTCGTCCAATGCCACTTAGGCCGGATGTGCTTTGTCAGGCCATGAAGACAGGCATTCTTCGCAAGCTTCACAGTTGACTCATTGTCACAGAAAATCACAGTCGGCTCCTTTTGACCAACCCAAATCTCCTCTAGCAAACGCCTTAGCCACACCACCTCCTTTGCCCCATGATGAAGGGCCATGTACTCTGTCTCACACGAGGACAGCCCCACCTCGTTCTGCTTCTTGCTGCGCCAGCTCACTGCACCACCTCCAAAGAGGCACACATAGCCTCCAATGCTGGTGCCATCCGATTTCACAGAGTTGAAGCTAGCGTCGGTGTAGCACGTTAGGCGCATCTCCCCCTTGCTCAAGTCAGCTGCACCCCTCTGCAGCCTCTGTCGCACGGCACTGTACTCCAATCCCACTGATGCCGTTGCACTCACGTAGCGGACCAACCTCTTGGCCGCTTCCAGCTGCTCATGACTAGGGCGTGAAACCACACTTGCAAGCCTGGATGTAGCAAAGGCAATGTCAGGCCGCGTGTGGTTAGCCGAATAGTTGAGTGCCCCCACCATGGAGTGAAACAGCTTCCTGTCACTCTCTCCCACCACCTCCTCATCAGCACAAGGCTCTACGGTGAACCCTGAAGGCAGTGGGGTGGCTGGCTTCCCTCCATCTCGCAGCCCATACTTCTCGGCCAGCCCCTCACAATACTTCCTCTGGTGCAACCTCAACACTCCCTTGTCAAGGTCCTTCTTCACATGCATCCCCAGGTAGTACTTCACATCTCCCATCTTGGAGCACTTGAACTGCATTTCCAGCATCTCCTTCACACGCTCAATCATTGCAGACGACTCAGAGAAGAGCAGTATGTCGTCCACATACACCAGGAGCATGAGAAACTGCTCCTTCTCTTGCAGCAGGAACAAGCTGTGATCGCACTCACTCTTCTTGAACCCCCCAGCCAGCAGTGTCTCCTCCAGTTTGTGGTACCATGCACGAGGAGCCTGCTTCAGGCCATAGATGGCCTTCTTCAGCCTGCACACCCTGCCGCTCCCATCATCCAACCCCTCAGGCTACAGCATGTACAGATCCTCCAGAATGACTCCATTGAGGAAGGCGGTGGTAATGTCCAGCTGCTTTACCCGCCATCCACGGTATGCGGCCATCGCCAAAGACACTCTCAGTGTTGTGCCTTTTCCCACAGGAGCATAGAGCTCATCAAAATCCTTCCCCTTCGTCTGCTGGAACCCCTTAGCGACAAGCCTTGACTTGTAGCGCGTCAGCTCCCCATCAGGTCCATACTTGTGCCTGAAGATCAGCTTCGAAGAGATTGCCTTCTTCCCATGAGGCAGCTCACACAGCTCCCACGTCTCATTCTCCAGCAGAGAGTCATACTCCTCCTTCACACTCTGCTTCCACTTCTCAGCATCGGGCCCACTCAAGGCCTCGGTAAGTGTCTTGGGCTCAGGGACGGCTGCCCAGTAACAGTGCGCTATCTCCTCCTCATCACACTGCTCAGCCACACTTCCAGCATGCTCCACATTTCGTGAGCCAGTGCGATTATAGCTCAGCCTAATAGGTTGGCGTATATCCCTCCTAGGACACTCAGCCGTACGTGCGGCACCTCGTAGAGCATCTTGCTGCTGCTGCTGCGGCTGCTGCTGCTGCGGCTGCTGTTGCTGCTGCTGCTGCTGCTACTGCTGCTCCACCACCTCAGGTTCTCCCCCATCCTCAGTCACCCCAGAGATCTCCTCCTCTGAGATGGCAACCTCCACTTGCCTCGAAGGCCGCTGCATCTCATCGGCCTCAACGATCAGCGGTGTCGTAGGAAGCTTCTGCTGCTGCTGCTTCCACTCCTTGTAGTACAAGGACTCCAGGAACTTCACGTCCCTTGACACAGTCAGCTGCTGGCTGGTCAAGTCCCATATGAGCCAGCCCTTGTGGTCCTTCGCAAGTCCCAAGTGCACACCCCATCTTCCAGAAGCTTCCAACTTTCCCCTCTTCTCCTTCGGCACATGAAACACCACCATGCAGCCGTAGGCTCTCAGCATGTTGACTGCTGGTGCACTCCCATACCACTTGGTTTAAGGCACCCACTGCTTGTCCCCCACAGTTGCGAGCACCCGGTTCTTCACAACAACGACCTGCCGCAGTGCAGTCACCCAAAACGGATCCGGCAGCCCTGCACGCCCAAGGAGAGTGCGAGCACCTTCCTGCAGGGTCCGGTTGAACCGCTCAGCCACGCCGTTCTGCTGAGGGTTGTAGGGCACCGTGAGCTGATGCTGGATCCCCTTCTTCTTCAGCACCGCCTCAAAAACAGCGCCAATGAACTCTCCCCCATTGTCGGTGCGGATCACCTTCACTTTGTGTCCGCTCTCCCTTTGTGCTCTCGGCATCCACTCCTTGAGAACAGCCGCTGCCACCTCCCCCTTAGTCTTGAGAGGGTAGACCCACACCGCACGTGTGTGGTCATCCACAATGGTCAGGAAATAGCGGCTGCCCGAGAGAGAAGGGGCCCTCGTGGGGCCCACCACGTCCATGTGCACAAGTGCAAGTGGAGCCTTCGCTGGTCCCGTGCTGCTGCTGAAGGGAAACTTCGTGAACTTGGTCTCAAGGTATGTAGGGCAGCTCCCAATCTCCCTTGCTGCCCCCTTCACCTCCAATTCCTTCAGGTTCCCATCCTTCACCAATTTCTGCAGCATCGGAATGTTGATGTGGCACAACCTCTCGTGCCACGTCTCCCAATCGGCCTCACCACTCCCAGATGAAGCCTTTGCCCATGCAGCCGTTGCATCCACACCAGCAAGCACCTCACCATGTGATTGCTGTGGCTGCTGCACCTTCTTGACTGCATCCAGGGCCCCAGCAGTTGGTGCAGTCTCCTCTCCTCCCGCAGTTGCCTTAGCCGCTGCCGCTGCCTTTGCCGTTGCTGGAGGTTTTCCATTCCAAGGGATGATGGGCAGCTAACACAGGTCCTTGATGCAGCTGCTCTTCTCCTCCAAATCCCACAGCAGCAACTTCCCAAGCTTTGCACGGCAGCTGGTTGGGCCGAACGTGACTTTGGCCTTGCTTTTCTGCAGCCGGCGCACAGAGAGGAGGTTAGCGGATAAACCATCCACCAATAGAACATTCCCAAGTCCAACAAGTCCCCCATTGGCTCCCATCACCTTGGCATTCCCAACACCAATCACAGGGAGCAAAGCACCTGACGCGGCAGCCACAAACTTGATCTTCCCAGGGGGTTTCACCTCATCGAGCAAATCTGCCCGCAGAGTCATGTGACTCGTGCAACCAGAATCGATCACCCAGTGAGTTAGGGGGTGCATTACAACCTTCCCAACCGAACCCACATCATCCTCACTCCCTTTCACTTCCTCAACCATGAGGAACAGCCCAGGGTCAGCTTTACCTTGTGCACCATCACCTTGTGCACCTGAACCTTGCACAGCACCACCTCGTGCGCATTCACCACTTGGCGGCTTCATGCCTGGAGGTGCCCATCCCTCAGGCCGGCTGAAACACTTGAACCACGGGTGTCCAGCCTTCTTGCAGTACCAGCACGCACCCTCCATTCGTGTGCTCCCCCTGCCACCAGAGCTCCCATGCCCCTCATTGTAGTCACCTCGGCCTCTCCCTCTGCCAAAGCCTCTCCCACGGCCTCGGCCTCTCCCTCCCCCTCTCCCTGTGCTGCCTCCTGCAGCTCCATACCCCTCAGCAGTTTTGTTGGCAGCACCACCTCCAGTGTGGCGCCTGCGGAAGTCCTCCTGCAGGATCTGCTGCCGTAGCCACTCAGGCGTCCATTTGTCCTGCTGAACGTTGAGGGTGGGGATGAGGTTGTCCCACGAGTTGTCGAGCACCGAGATGATCTTGGTGCACTGTTGCATCTGCGACACTTCGCTGCCCGCCGCTGCCATCCTCGCATAGGTGTCCTTGATCTTGTCAAGGACCGGCTTCACATCATCTCCCGGCCGCATGGAGAGGGCAGCCAACTCCTTCTCCAATACGATCACCATCGGCAGCGTGTTGGGTTGAACCACGTCGCGAAGCAGCTTCCACGCCTTCGGTCCCGAGTCATCGAGCTCCACCAGGTCCTTGATATGCTGGAACATATCATTGTTGACCGATTGAAGGATTAGGTCGTACAGCACCGCGCTCCTCTCAATCCATTTGTCGCGGGCATCACCTTCCTCCGGCATCTTCTCTTCTCCCATCGCAAGTTTTAGCAGCTTGTAGCGCTTGAAAGCGCTCCGCATCCGCCCGCTCCATTCCTCATAGTTGGAGCCGTCCAAAGCCTCGATCTTGGACGGTGGCGGTTCACTCTTCTTCTCAGCTCCTTCTCCACTCATCTCCTCTGCTCCCAATCAGAGGTTTCAGCTCCCCCTTTGCTGTCCACACCGAAGTCTCACACAATTTTCCACAGGTGTCGGCGCCAACGAAATTTCGGCAGAGTTTCCCCTTAATGGAAGTCACATCCAACCTCTAGAACTCCACATAGACACGCCCACAGGCCATGGTGGGTCTAGGAGGGTCTTCACACTTCAGTAGACTCTCCACAAAGTCCTTAATCAGCTCTGATACCACTTGTTAGAGACTAAGGATCGAGTCTATGAAGATTAGGTGCTCAAATTTATCAAAATCGTTGGTCTCAATTTCTGGACAGAAACGTCGACTTCACAAGAAACGTCGTCGACGGAAGGTGCACTGTTAGAATCCCACGAAATTCGAATATGTTGTAGCCCTAGACCGTGGCTACATTTACCAATTCGAATCGTATCAAAATATGATGCATATCTCGAGTTATGCGTTTCGGCGCACTAGGGGGTATGCTGCCACAGAAATTTAACTCAATCACAATTAACTCACAAGTTCCACAAAAGTGCACACAAGAGAGTTAGGGTAGCACTAAACCAGGTAGGAGGGAAGAGGAGGACGAGAGGGAAGGTCCCAAGAGATTCCCCAACCAAGGAAACCCCATGCCACACAATTCCCTTCCCCATAGGCAACCCCACTTTCACATTTGTCACTTTCCCAACTCATGCCATCCACCTCAACCCACTTGGCCACACTTGCCAACCTGGTTTGGCTTCACCCAACCACATGGCAGCATTCTACAGTGATGGGTTCGAATTCCCAACCCCCAAAAGTCTGTACCCCATATTGAGTCAACCCCACAACTTCCCATAGTCGCCACAACCGAAGTACAGAAAGCATACGAACCCCAACGTTCGTAACTTTCTTGACATTGCTCCGATCGCGACGATTCTTGGCTCGTCGGAAAGATCTTGAGTAGAGCTGTCACTTCAGATATCTGCCCAAGCCAAACATCATCCACACACACTCGAAAAATCCAAACCGCGCAAAACACAAATTCTTGCACACGTTCACACCACGCTTGCAACACACGAACACCTGATGGAGGCAGACAGACGTGAATGCATATGTTTGCATCACAACAACCCCGCCCCATTCTTCCGCTTTTCATCACCCCGCCCCATTCTCCCGCTTTCCATCACCCCGCCCCATTCTCCCGCTTTCCATCACCCCGCCCCATTCTCCCGCTTTCCATCACCCCGCCCCATTCTCCCGCTTTCCATCACTCCGCCCCATTCTCCCGCTTTCCATCACCCCGCCCTATTCTCTAGCTTTCCATCACCCCGCCCCATTCTCCCGCTTTCCATCACCCCGCCCCATTCTCCCGCTTTCCATCACCTCGCCCCATTCTCCCGCTTTCCATCACCCCGCACCATTCTCCCGCTTTCCATCACCCCGCCCCATTCTCCCGCTTTCCATCACCCCGCCCCATTCTCCCGCTTTCCATCACCCCGCCCCTTTCTCCCTCTTTCCATCACCCCGCCCCATTCTCCCGCTTTCCATCACCCCGCCCTATTCTCCCGCTTTCCATCACCCCACCCCATTCTCCCGTTTTCCATCACCCCGCCCCATTCTCCCGCTTTCCATCACCCCGTCCCATTCTCCCTCTTTTCATCACCCCGCCCCATTCTCCCTCTTTCCATCACCCCACCCCATCCTCCCTCTTTCCATCGCCCCGCCCCATTCTTCCGCTTTTCATCACCCCGTCCCATTCTCCCTCTTTCCATCACCCCGCCCCATTCCCCCTCTTTCCATCTGCCTGCCCCATTCTCCCGCTCTCCATCACCCTGCCCTATTCTCCCTATTTCAATCACCCCGCCCCATTCTCCCGCTTTCCATCACCCCGCTTTCCATCACCCCGCCCCATTCTCCCGCTTTCCATCACCCCGCCCCATTCTCCCTCGTTCCATCACCCCGCCCCATTCTCCCTCTTTCCATCACCTCGCCCTATTCTCCCTCTTCCCATCACCCCGCCCCATTCTCCCGCTTTCCATTACCCCGCCCCATTCTCAAACTTTCCATCACCCCGCCCCATTCTCCCTCTTTCGATCACCCCTGCCCCATTCTCACGCTTTCCATCACCCCGCCCCATTCTCTCTCTTTCCATCACCCCGCCCCAGTCTCCCTCTTTCCATCACCCCGTCCCATTCTCCCTCTTTCCATCACCCCGCCCCATTCTCCCTCTTTCCATCATCCCGCCCCATCCTCCCTATTTCCATCACCCCGCCCCATTCTTCCGCTTTCCATCACCCCGCCCCATTCTCCAGCTTACCATCACCCCGCCCCATTCTCCAGCTTTCCATCACCCCGCCCCATTCTCCCGCTTCCAAATACCCCGCCCCATTCTCCCGCTTTCCACCACCCTGCCCCATTCTCCCGCTTTCCATCACCCTGCCCCATTCTCCCGCTTTCCATCACCCCGCCCCATTCCTCGCTTTCCATCACCCCACCCCATTCTCCCGCTTTCCATCACCCCACCCCATTCTCCCGCTTTCCATCACCCCGCCCCATTCACAAGCTTTCCATCACCCCGCCCCATTCTCCCGCTTTCCATCACCCCGCCCCATTCTCCCGCTTTCCATCACCCCGCCCCATTCTCCCGCTTTCCATCACCCCGCCCCGTTCTCCCGCTTTCCATCACCCCGCCCCATTCTCCCGCTTTCCATCACCCTGCCCCATTCTCCCGCTTTCCATCACCCCGCCCCATTCTCCCGCTTTCCATCACCCCGCCCCATTCTCAAGCTTTCCATCACCCTGCCCCATTCTCCTGCTTTCCATCACCCCGCCCCATTCTCCCGCTTTTCATCACCCCGCCCCATTCTCCCGCTTTCCATCACCCCGCCCCATTCTCCTGCTTTCCATCACCCCGCCCTATTCTCCCGCTTTCCATCACCCCGCCCCATTCTCCCGCTTTCCATCACCCCGTCCCATTCTCCCTCTTTTCATCACCCCGCCCCATTCTCCCTCTTTCCACCACCCCGCCCCATTCTCCCGCTTTCCATCACCCCGGCCCATTCTCCCTATTTCCATCACCCCGCTCGATTCTCCCACTTTCCATCACCCCGCCCCATTCTCCCGCTTTCCGTCACCCCGCCCCATTCTCCCGCTTTCCATCACCCCGCCCCATTCTCTCTCTTTCCATCACCCCGCCCCATTCTCCCTCTTTCCATCACCCCGCCCCATTCTCCCTCTTTCCATCACCCCGCCCCATCCTCCCTATTTCCATCACCCCGCCCCATTCTTCCGCTTTCCATCACCCCGCACCATTCTCCAGCTTTCCATCACCCCGCCCCATTCTCCTGCTTTCCATCACCCCGCCCTATTCTCCAGCTTTCCATCACCCCGCCCCATTCTCCCGCTTTCCATCACCCCGCCCCATTCTCCCGCTTTCCATCACCCCGCCCCATTCTCCCGCTTTCCATCACCCCGCCACATTCTCCCGCTTTCCATCACCCCGCCCCATTCTCCCGCTTTCCATCACCCCGCCCCATTCTCCCGCTTTCCATCACCCCGCCCCATTCTTCCGCTTTCCATCACCCCGCCCCATTCACCCCGCCCCATTCTCCCTCTTTCCATCAACCCGCCCCATTCTCCCGCTTTTCATCACCCTGCCCCATTCTCCCTCTTTCCATCACCCCGCCCCATTCTCCCTCTTTCCATCAGCCCGCCCCATTCTCCCGCTTTTCTTCACCCCTGTTAGAGACTAAGGATCGAGTCTATGAAGATTAGGTGCTCAAATTTATCAAAATCGTTGGTCTCAATTTCTGGACAGAAACGTCGACTTCACAAGAAACGTCGTCGACGGAAGGTGCACTGTTAGAATCCCACGAAATTCGAATATGTTGTAGCCCTAGACCGTGGCTACATTTACCAATTCGAATCGTATCAAAATATGATGCATATCTCGAGTTATGCGTTTCGGCGCACTAGGGGGTATGCTGCCACAGAAATTTAACTCAATCACAATTAACTCACAAGTTCCACAAAAGTGCACACAAGAGAGTTAGGGTAGCACTAAACCAGGTAGGAGGGAAGAGGAGGACGAGAGGGAAGGTCCCAAGAGATTCCCCAACCAAGGAAACCCCATGCCACACAATTCCCTTCCCCATAGGCAACCCCACTTTCACATTTGTCACTTTCCCAACTCATGCCATCCACCTCAACCCACTTGGCCACACTTGCCAACCTGGTTTGGCTTCACCCAACCACATGGCAGCATTCTACAGTGATGGGTTCGCATTCCCAACCCCCAAAAGTCTGTACCCCATATTGAGTCAACCCCACAACTTCCCATAGTCGCCACAATCGAAGTACAGAAAGCATACGAACCCCAACGTTCGTAACTTTCTTGATATTGCTCCGATCGCGACGATTCTTGGCTCGTCGGAAAGATCTTGAGTAGAGCTGTCACTTCAGATATCTGCCAAAGCCAAACATCATCCACACACACTTGAAAAATCCAAACTGCGCAAAACACAAATTCTTGCACACGTTCACACCACGCTTGCAACACACGAACACTTGATGGAGGCAGACAGACGTGAATGCATATGTTTGCATCACAACAAACTCCCCCTCTGGCTGCCAACCATCATCCCACATGCCTCAGCTCATGCATGCATCCTCAATGCACACTCATCCCAGCAAGTTTCATGCCCTTCCAATGCTCAGGTTCTGCCAGGCGCTTGGTGAGAATGTCAGCCGCCTGTTGCTGGGTTTTCACAAGTTCCAGTCGAACCTCCTTATCCAGGAGCCTCCTCGTCCAATGCCACTTAGGCCGGATGTGCTTTGTCAGGCCATGAAGACAGGCATTCTTCGCAAGCTTCACAGTTGACTCATTGTCACAGAAAATCACAGTCGGCTCCTTTTGACCAACCCAAATCTCCTCTAGCAAACGCCTTAGCCACACCACCTCCTTTGCCCCATGATGAAGGGCCATGTACTCTGTCTCACACGAGGACAGCCCCACCTCGTTCTGCTTCTTGCTGCGCCAGCTCACTGCACCACCTCCAAAGAGGCACACATAGCCTCCAATGCTGGTGCCATCCGATTTCACAGAGTTGAAGCTAGCGTCGGTGTAGCACGTTAGGCGCATCTCCCCCTTGCTCAAGTCAGCTGCACCCCTCTGCAGCCTCTGTCGCACGGCACTGTACTCCAATCCCACTGATGCCGTTGCACTCACGTAGCGGACCAACCTCTTGGCCGCTTCCAGCTGCTCATGACTGGGGCGTGCCCCACACTTGCAAGCCTGGATGTAGCAAAGGCAATGTCAGGCCGCGTGTGGTTAGCCGAATAGTTGAGTGCCCCCACCATGGAGTGAAACAACTTCCTGTCACTCTCTCCCACCACCTCCTCATCAGCACAAGGCTCTACGGTGAACCCTGAAGGCAGTGGGGTGGCTGGCTTCCCTCCATCTCGCAGCCCATACTTCTCGGCCAGCCCCTCACAATACTTCCTCTGGTGCAACCTCAACACTCCCTTGTCAAGGTCCTTCTTCACATGCATCCCCAGGTAGTACTTCACATCTCCCATCTTCTCCCGCTTTCCATCACCCCGCCCCATTCTCCCGCTTTCCATCACCCCGCCCCATTGTCCCTCTTTCCATCACCCCGCCCCATTCTCCCGCTTTCCATCACCCTGCCCCATTCTCCCTCTTTCCATCACCCCACCCCATTCTCCCACTTTCAATCACCCCGCCCCATTCTCCCGCTTTCCATCACCCCGCCCCATTCTCCCGCTTTCCATCACCCGCCCCATTCTCCCGCTTTCCATCAACCCGCCCCATTCTCCCTCTTTCCATCACCCCGCCCTAATCTCCCTCTTTCCATCACCCCGACCCATTCTCCCGCTTTCCATCACCCCGCCCCATTCTCCCGCTTTCCATCACCCCGCCCCATTCTTCCGCTTTCCATCACCCCGCCCCATTCTCCCTCTTTCCATCTCCCCGCCCCATTCTCCCTCTCTCCATCACCCCGCCCCATTCTCCCGCTTTCCATCACCCCGCCCCATTCTCCCGCTTTCAATCACCCCGCCCCATTCTTCCGCTTTCCATCACCCCGCCCCATTCTCCCTGTTTCCATCAGCCCGCCCCATTCTCCCCTTTTCCATCACCCCGCCCCATTCTCCCGCTTTCCATTACCCCGCCCCATTCTCCCGCTTTTTCATCACTCCGCCCCATTCTCCCTCTTTCCATATCCCCGCCCTATTCTCCCTTTTTCCATCACCGCGCCCCATTCTCCCTCTTTCCATCACCCCACCCCATTCTCCCGCTTTCCATCACCCCGCCCCATTCTCCCGCTTTCCTTCACCCCGCCCCATTCTCCCGCTTTCCATCACCCCGCCCTATTCTCCCTCTTTCCATCACCCTGCCCCATTCTCCCGCTTTCCATCACCCCGCCCCATTCTCCCGCTTTCCATCACCCCGCCCCATTCTTCCGCTTTCCATCACCCCGCCCCATTCTCCCTCTTTCCATCTCCCCGCCCCATTCTCCCTCTCTCCATCACCCCGCCCCATTCTCCCGCTTTCCATCACCCCGCCCCATTCTCCCGCTTTCAATCACCCCGCCCCATTCTTCCGCTTTCCATCACCCCGCCCCATTCTCCCTGTTTCCATCAGCCCGCCCCATTCTCCCCTTTTCCATCACCCCGCCCCATTCTCCCGCTTTCCATTACCCCGCCCCATTCTCCCGCTTTTTCATCACTCCGCCCCATTCTCCCTCTTTCCATATCCCCGCCCTATTCTCCCTTTTTCCATCACCGCGCCCCATTCTCCCTCTTTCCATCACCCCACCCCATTCTCCCGCTTTCCATCACCCCGCCCCATTCTCCCGCTTTCCTTCACCCCGCCCCATTCTCCCGCTTTCCATCACCCCGCCCTATTCTCCCGCTTTCCATCACCCAGCCCCATTCTCCTGCTTTCCATCACCCAGCCCCATTCTCCCGCTTTCCATCACCCCGCCCCATTCTCCCTCTTTCCATCACCCCGCCCAATTCTCCCTCTTTCCATCACCCCTCCCCATTCTCCCTCTTTCCATCACCCCGCCCCATTCTCCCGCTTTCCATCACCCCGCCCCATTCTCCCTCTTTCCATCACACCGCCCCATTCTCCTGCTTTCCATCACCCCGCCCCATTCTCCCTGTTCCATCACCCCGCCCCATTCTCCCGCTTTCCATCACCCTGCCCCATTCTCTCTCTTTCCATCACCCCGCCCCATTCTTCCTCTTTCCATCACCCGCCCCATTCTCCCCCAATCCATCACCTCGCCCCATTTTCACTCATTCCATCACCTTGTCCCATTCTCCTGCTTTCCATCACCCCGCCCCATTCTCCCGCTTTCCATCACCCCACTCCATTCTCCCGCTTTCCATCACCCTGCCCAATTCTCCCTCTTTCCATCACCCCGCCCCATTCTCCCGCTTTCCATCACCCCGCCCCATTCTCCCTCTTTCCATCACCCCGCCCCTTTCTTTCTCTTTCCATCACCCCGCCCCATTCTCCCTCTTTCCACCACCCCGCCCCATTCTCCCTGTTTTCATCACCCCGCCCCATTCTCCCGTTTTCCATCACCCTGCCCCATTCTCCTGCTTTCCATCACCCCGCCCCATTCTCCTTCTTTCCATCACCCCGCCCCATTCTCCCGCTTTCCATCACCCCGCCCTGTTCTCCCTCTTTCCATCACCCCGCCCCATTCTCCCTCTTTCCATCACCCCGCCCCATTCTCCCGCTTTCCATCACCCCGCCCCATTCTCCATCTTTCCATCACTCCACCCCATTCTCCCGCCTTCCATCACCCCGCCCCATTCTCCATCCTTCCATCACCCCGCCCCATTCTCCCTCTTTCCATCACCCCGCCCGGTTCTCCAGCCTTCCATCACCCAGCCCCATTCTCCCTCTTTACCTCACCCCGCCCCATTCTCCCGCTTTCCATCACCCCGCCCCATTCTCCCTCTATCCATCACCCCGCACCATTCTCCCGCTTTCCTTCACCGCGTCCCATTTTCCCGCTTTCCATCACCTCGCCCCATTCTCTTTCTTTCCATCACCTCGCCCCATTCTCCCGCTTTCCATCACCCCGCCCCATTCTCCCGCTTTCCATCACCCCGCCCCATTCTCCCGCTTTCCATCACCCTGCCCATTCTCCCGCTTTCCATCATCCCGCCCCATTCTCCCTCTTTCCATCACCCCGCCCCATTCTCCCGCTTTCCATCACCCCGCTCCATTCTCCCGCTTTCCATCACCCCGCCCAATTCTCCCTACTTCCATCACCCCTCCCCATTCACCCTCTTTCCATCACCCCGACCTATTCTCCCTCTTTCCATCACCCCGCCCCATTCTCCCTCTTTCCATCACCCCGCCCCATTCTCCCTCTTTCCATCACCCTGCCCTATTCTCCTTGTTTCCATCACCCTGCCCCATTCTCCCTTTTTACATCACCCCGCCCCATTCTCCCGCTTTCCATCACCCCGCCCCATTCTCCCGCTTTCCATCACCCCGCCCCATTCTCCCGCTTTCCATCACCCCGTCCCGTTCTCCCGCTTTTCATCACCCCACCCCGTTCTCCCGCTTTCCATCACCCCGCCCCGTTCTCCCGTTTTCCATCACCCCGCCCCGTTCTCCCTCTTTCCATCACCCCACCCCATTCTCCCGTTTTCCATCACCCCTCCCCATTCTCCCTCTTTCCATCACCCCGCCCCATTCTCCCGCTTTCCATCACCCCGCCCCATTCTCCCGCTTTCCATCACCCCAAGCCATTCTCCCTCTTTCCATCACCCCGCCTCATTCTCCCGCTTTGCATCACCCCGCCTTATTCTCCCGCTTTCCATCACCCCGCCCCATTGTCCCTCTTTCCATCACCCCGCCCCATTCTCCCACTTTCCATCACCCTGCCCCATTCTCCCTCTTTCCATCACCCCACCCCATTCTCCCGCTTTCAATCACCCCGCCCCATTCTCCCCCTTTCCATCACCCCGCCCCATTCTCCTGCTTTCCATCACCCCGCCCCATTCTCCCGCTTTCCATCAACCCGCCCCATTCTCCCTCTTTCCATCACCCCGCCCTAATCTCCCTCTTTCCATCACCCTGACCCATTCTCCCGCTTTCCATCACCCCGCCCCATTCTCCCGCTTTCCATCACCCCGCCCCATTCTTCCGCTTTCCATCAGCCCGCCCCATTCTCCCTCTTTCCATCTCCCCGCCCCATTCTCCCTCTCTCCATCACCCCACCCCATTCTCCCGCTTTCCATCAACCCGCCCCATTCTCCCGCTTTCAATCACCCCGCCCCATTCTTCCGCTTTCCATCACCCAGCCAAATTCTCCCTGTTTCCATCAGTCCGCCCCATTCTCCCTCTTTCCATCACCCCGCCCCATTCTCCCACTTTCCATTACCCCGCCCCATTCTCCCGTTTTTCATCACCCCGCCCCGTTCTCCCTCTTTTCATAACCCTGCCCTATTCTCCCTCTTTCCATCACCCTGCCCCATTCTACCTCTTTCCATCACCCCACACCATTCTCCCGCTTTCCATCACCCACACCCCATTCTCCCGCTTTCCTTCACCCCGCCCCATTCTCCCGCTTTCCATCACCCCGCCCTATTCTCCCTCTTTCCATCACCCTGCCCCATTCTCCCGCTTTCCATCACCCAGCCCCATTCTCTTGCTTTCCATCACCCCGCCCCATTCTTCCTCTTTCCATCACCCCGCCCAATTCTCCCTCTTTCCATCACCCCTCCCCATTCTCCCTCTTTCCATCACCCCGCCACATTCTCCCGCTTTCCATCACCGCGCCTCATTATCCCTCTTTCCATCACCCCGCCCCATTCTCCCGCTTTCCATCACCCCGCCCCATTCTCCCTCTTTCCATCACCCCGCCCTATTCTCCCGCTTTCCATCACCCGCCCCATTCTCCCGCTTTCCATCACACTGCCCCATTCTCCTGCTTTCCATCACCCCGCCCCATTCTCCCGCTTTTCATCACCCCACCCCATTCTCCCGCTTTCCAACACCCCGGCCCATTCTCTCGCTTTCCATCACCCCGCCCCCTTCTTCCTCCTTCCATCACCCCGCCCCAATCTCCCTCCTTCCTTCACCCCGCCCCATTCTCCCGCTTTCCATCACCCTGCCCCATTCCTCCGCTTTCCATCACCCCGCACCATTCTCCCACTTTCCATCACCCCGCCCCATTCTCCCGCTTTCCATCACCCCGCGCCATTCTTCCGCTTTCCATCACCCCGCCCCCTTCTCCCCCCTTCCATCACCCCGCCCCATTCTCCCTCCTTCCATCACCCCGCCCCATTCTCCCGCTTTCCATCAGCCCGCCCCATTCTCCCGCTTTCCATCACCCCGCCCCTTTCTCCCGCTTTCCATCTCCCTGCCCCATTCTCCCGCTTTCCATCACCCCGCCCCATTCTCCCGCTTTCCATCACCCCGCCCCATTCTCCCGCTTCCCATCATCCCGCCCCATTCCCCCGCTTTCCATCACCCCTCCCCATTCTCCCTCCTTCCATCACCCCGCCCCATTCTCCCGCTTTCCATTACACGCCCCACTCTCCTGCTTTCCATCACCCAGCCCCATTCACCCGCTTTCCATCACCCGCCCCATTCTCCCGCTTTCCATCACCTTGCCCCATTCTCCCACTTTCCATCACCCCACCCCATTCTCTCGCTTTTCATCACCCCGCCCCATTCTCCCGCTTTCCAACACCCCGCCCCATTCTCCCGCTTTCCATCACCCCGCCCCATTCTCCCGCTTTCCATCACCCCGCCCCATTCTCCCGCCTTCCATCACCCTGCCCCATTCTCCCGCTTTCCATCACCCCGCCTCATTCTCCCGCTTTCGATCACCCCACCCCATTCTCCCGCTTTCCATCATCCCGCCCCATTCTCCCTCTTTCCATCACCCCGCCCCATTCTCCCGCTTGCCATCTCCCCGCCCCATTCTCCCTCCTTCCATCACCCCGCCTCATTCTACCTCCTTCCATCACCCCGCCCCATGCTCCCGCTTTCCATCACCCCGCCCCATTCTACCGCTTTCCATCACCCCGCCCCATTCTCCCTCCTTCCATCACCCCGCCCCATTCTCCTGCTTTCCATCAGCCCACCCCATTCTCCCGCTTTCCATCTCCCCGCCCCATTCTCCCTCCTTCCATCACCCCGCCTCATTCTACCTCCTTCCATCACCCCGCCCCATGCTCCCGCTTTCCATCACACCGCCCCATCCTCCCGCTTTCGATCACCGCGCCCCATTCTCCTGCTTTCCATCACCCCGCCCCATTCTCCCGCTTTCCAACACCCCGCCCCATTCTCCCGCTTTCCATCACCCCGCCCCATTCTCCCGCTTTCCATCACCCCGCCTTATTCTCCCTCCTTCCATCACCCCGCCTCATTCTCCCTGCTTCCATCACCTCGCCCCATTCTCCCGCTTTCCATCACCCCGCCCCATTCTCCCGCTTTCCATCACCCAGCCCCATTCTCCCACTTTCCATCACCCCGCCCCATTTTCCCGCTTTCTATCACCCTGCCCCATTCTCACGCTTTCCATCACCCTGCCCCAATCTCCCGCTTTCCATCACCCCGCCCCATTCGCCCTCCTTCCATCACCCCGCCCCATTCTCCCGCTTTACATCACCCCGCCCCATTCTCCCGCTTTCCATAACCCCGCCCCATCCTCCCTCCTTCCATCACCCGCCACGTTCTCCCTCCTTCCATCACCCCGCCCCTTTCTCCCTCCTTCCATCACCCCGCCCTATTCTCCCGCTTTCCATCAGCCCGCCCCATTCTCCCGCTTTCCATCACCCCGCCCCATTCTCCCGCCATCCATCACCGCGCCCCATTCTCCCGCTTTCCATCACCCCGCCTCATTCTCCCGCTTTCGATCACCCCACCCCATACTCCCGCTTTCCATCATCCCGCCCCATTCTCCCTCTTTCCATCACCCCGCCCCATTCTCCCGCTTGCCATCTCCCCGCCCCATTCTCCCTCCTTCCATCACCCCGCCTCATTCTACCTCCTTCCATCACCCCGCCCCATGCTCCCGCTTTCCATCACCCCGCCCCATTCTACCGCTTTCCATCACCCCGCCCCATTCTCCCTCCTTCCATCACCCCGCCCCATTCTCCTGCTTTCCATCAGCCCACCCCATTCTCCCGCTTTCCATCTCCCCGCCCCATTCTCCCTCCTTCCATCACCCCGCCTCATTCTACCTCCTTCCATCACCCCGCCCCATGCTCCCGCTTTCCATCACACCGCCCCATTCTCCCGCTTTCGATCACCGCGCCCCATTCTCCTGTTTTCCATCACCCCGCCCCATTCTCCCGCTTTCCATCACCCCGCCCCATTCTCCCTCCTTCCATCACCCCGCCCCATTCTCCCGCTTTCCATCACCCCGCGCTATTCTCCCTCCTTCTATCACCCCGCCCCATTCTCCCGCTTTCCATCACCCCGCCCCATTCTCCCGCTTCCCATAACCCCACCTCATTCTCCCGCTTTCCATCACCCCGCCACATTCTCCCGCTTTCCATCACCCCGCCCCATTTTCCATCCTTCCATCACCCCGCCCCATTCTCCCGCTTTCCATCACCCCGCCCCATTCTCCCGCTTTCCATCACGCCGCCCCCTTCTCCCTCCTTCCATCACCCCGCCCCATTCTCCCTCCTTCCATCACCCCGCCCCATTCTCCCGCTTCCCATCAGCCCGCCCCTTTCTCCTGCTTTCCATCTCCCTGCCCCATTCTCCCGCTTTCCATCAACCCGCCCCATTCTCCTGCTTTCCATCACCCTGCCCCATTTTCCCGCTTCCCATCATCCCGCCCCATTCCCCCGCTTTCCATCACCCCTCCCCATTCTCCCTCCTTCTATCACCCCGCCCCATTCTCCAGCTTTCCATTACCCGCCCCATTCTCCCGCTTTCCATCACCTCGCCCCATCTCCCGCTTTCCATCACCCCGCCCTATTCTTCTGCTTTCCATCACCCCGCCCCATTCTCCTGCTTTCCATCACCCCGCCCCATTCACCCGCTTTCCATCACCCGCCCCATTCTCCTGCTTTCCATCACCCCGCTCCATTCTCCCGCTTTCCATCACTCCGCCCCATTCTCCCGCTTTCCATCACCCCGCCCCATTCTCCTGCTTTCCATGACCCCGCCCCATTCTCCCTCCTTCCATCACTCCGCCTCATTCTCCCTCCTTCCATCACCCCCCCCATTCTCCCGCTTTCCATCACCCCGCCCCATTCTCCCGCTTTCCATCACCCAGCCCCATTCTACCACTTTCCATCACCCCGCCTTATTTTCCCGCTTTTTATCACCCCGCCCCATTCTCACGCTTTCCATCACCATGCCCCAATCTCCCGCTTTCCATCACCCCGCCCCATTCTCCCTCCTTCCATCACCCCGCCCCATTCTCCCGCTTTCCATCACCCCGCCCCATTCTCCCGCTTTCCATAACCCCGCCTCATTCTCCCTCCTTCCATCACCCGCCCCATTCTCCCTCCTTCCATCACCCCGCCCCATTCTCCCTCCTTCCATCACCCCGCCCCATTCTCCCGCTTTCCATCAGCCCACCCCATTCTCCCGCTTTCCATCACCCCGCCCCATTCTCCCGCTTTCCATCACCCCGCCCCATTCTCCCGCTTTCCATCACCCCGCCCCATTCTCCCGTTTTCCATCACCCCGCCCCATTCTCCCGCTTTCCATCACCCCGCCCCATTCTCCCGCTTTCCATCACCCCGCCCCATTCTCCCGCTTTCCATCACCCCGCCCCATTCTCCCGCTTTCCATCACCCCGCCTCATTCTCCCGCTTTCCATCACCACACCCCATTCTCCCTCCTTCCATCACCTCGCCCCATTCTCCCGCTTTCCATCACCCCGCCCCATTCTCCCTCCTTCCATCACCCCGCCTCATTCTACCTCCTTCCATCACCCCGCCCCATGCTCCCGCTTTCCATCACCCCGCCCCATTCTCCCGCTTTTCATCACCCGCCCCATTCTCCCACTTTCCATCACCTCGCCCCATTCTCCCGCTTTCCATCACCCCGCCCCATTCTCCCTCCTTCCATCACCCCGCCCCATTCTCCCGCTTTCCATCAGCCCACCCCATTCACCCGCTTTCCATCACACTGCCCCATTCTCCCGCTTTCCATCACCCCGCCCCATTCTCCCGCTTTCCATCTCCCCTCCCCATTCTCCCATCTCCCCGCCCCATTCTCCCGCTTTCCATCACCACGCCCCATTCTCCCGCTTTCCATCACCCCGCCCCATTTTCCCGCTTTCCATCACTACACCCCATTCTCCCGCTTTCCATCACCCCGCCCCATTCTCCTGCTTTCCATCACCCCGCCCCATTCTTCTCCTTCCATCACCCCGCCTCATTCTACCTCCTTCCATCACCCCGCCCCATTCTCCCGCTTTCCATCACCCCGCCCCATTCTCCCGCTTTCCATCACCCTGCCCCATTCTCCCGCTTTCCATCACCACGCCCCATTCTCCCGCTTTCCATCACCCCGCCCCATTCTCCCTCCTTCCATCACCCTGCCCCATTCTCTCGCTTTCCGTCACCCCGCCCCATTCTCCCGCTTTCCATAACCCCGCCCCATTCTCCCGCTTTCCATCACCCCGCCACATTCTCCCACTTTCCATCACCCCGCCCCATTCTCCCTCCTTCCATCACCCCGCACCATTCTCCCTCCTTCCATCACCCCGCCCCATTCTCCCTCCTTTGAACACCCCGCCCCATTCTCCCGCTTTCCATCAGCCCTCCCTATTCTCCCGCTTTCCATCACCCCGCCCCATTCTCTCGCTTTTCATCACCCCACCCCAATCTCCCGCTTTCCATCACCCCGCCCCCTTTCTCCCTCCTTCCATCACCCCGCCCCATTCTCCCTCCTTCCATCACACCGCCCCATTCTCCCACTTTCTATTAGCCCGCCCCATTCTCCCGCTTTCCATCACCCCGCCCCTTTCTCCCGCTTCCATCTCCCCGCCCCCATTTCTCCCACTTTCCATCACCCCGCCCCATTCTCCCGCTTTCCATCACCCCGCCCCATTCTCCCACTTTCCATCACCCCGCCCATTCTCCCTCCTTCCATCACCCCACCTCATTCTACCTCATTCCATCACCCCGCCCCATGCTCCCACTTTCCCATCACCCGCCCATTCTCCCGCTTTTTCATCACCCCGCCCCATTCTCCCGCTTTCCATCACCCCGCCCCATTCTCACCGCTTTCCATCACCCCGCCCCCATTCTCCCTCCTTCCATCACCCCGCCCCATTCTCCCATCACCCCGCCCCCATTCTCCCGCTTCCATCACCACGCCCCATTCCCCGCTTTCCATCACCCCGCCCCATTCTCCCGCTTTCCATCACCTCCGCCCCATTCTCCCGCTTTCCCTCACCCCGCCCCATTCTCCCGCTTTCCATCACCCCGCCCCATTCTTCTCCTTCCATCACCCCGCCTCATTC